GGCTTTTTACATCATTTTACATTCTTACATCACAGCAGGGCCATTCCATGCAAGGCTTGGAAGCTGTTCTGCCTATGTGTCCTGGCTGTGATTGACAGGTCTTAGTGATTGACAGCTCAGGCCCAACTGTCCAGTTGATTTTCCATGCTCAAGCTCCTGCCTCACTTCCCCCTGAAAGACATACATCCCATCATTCTTTGTGGGCTGCTGAGAATGTGGATGTCTCTGTCTTCATATGGCTACTTCAGCTGAAAAAGGTTGTAGGTCTTACCCACTGGGGATTATGTTTTCTCCAACTACCTTACGATGCCCTGGCTCCCCAGCTGAGCAAAGGAAAACCTATCAGGAGACAACGAGAAAAGAGTTAGTGTCTCTATGTGGAGCCTGTTCAATGGGAAAAAGCTTGATACACCCGGCAGGACAGTAACTTTACTATTAGGCTGGGAATGTAGAGCCCAAATATGAGAAGGAGCGGGTTAGCTGTCCATACCTTCCTCTGCAGCTGTTCTGTTTCCCAAGGAGTTTAGACCTGCCCCTTTGGTGTCCTTTGCAATGAATGGCAGTGACTTGCTTTGGAAGAGAGCTTGTGTCTAGGAGTTGTATTCTTTATTAATTAGCAAGCTCTTTTCTTTGCAGATTGTTGCATGGGCTTGTAGTGTCAGATCTTTAAGTTGATACATCACAGGACAAGTAAAGAAGCTCTGACTTGGGTCCCCCCCCATGGCCCCAATTATGCTGAGATTTGGAGAAGGGTTTTCCAGAGAAGGGAGTTAAAAACTAATTGAATTTGCTTTCCCATGACATCAGGGTCACCTGTGGTTTTCCACAGGAGATGGAGGGACATTGTAGGTTCCTCCAGGGCCGCTCAGTCCTCTTCATCAGGGAGCGACGTGAGGGTTTCGGCTGGCCCAGCCCCTCTCTGGGAGTGGGGGGCAGTCAGTCCTCCAGCGCCGTGAGTCAGGGGCATCACTGCCAGAAACACAGAGCAGGGCCCAGGCGGTGGCTTGGCACAGCCGCATGTCCCGTGTCCAGATTTTTTGAATTTAAAGAAGGCTTTGATTGGCTGTGCGTTTTTCCCTTGGATGACTTGGGTGTGCTTAAAGTGCTGCCAGCTGGAGCAGCTGTCATTTTGGTCTGTCCTTTTTTCATCAGCCTTTCTCTTTGCATCTTCTTTTGATCTCTATTGCTGAGCATTGAAAGGGGCGTGTCCTGCAATCAGGTCACAGGGGTCTGGAGGCCCATCTGCAAACCTCCCAGCATCTTTCGAAAATACTAGGTCTCTCTGGGGCATAGGTTCTGATGGAAACATATGGGAGAGACCCATGTCCTCCCAAGAGATGGGTGGGCATCTCAGGACAGAACCATCAACAGTATCAGTGTCTTCTTCTTCAGAAACCTCTTTAAGTACCATAGTTTCTGGGCTTTTCCAGAGATAAAGAGCCATAAGAGCCTGAGTGTAAGGGATTTCACACCACCATCCATGCCTTTTGCAGAAATGAGCTAACTGAAAAATACTATCTCAATTTAAACTGCCATTCCATACCCATCTCTCACCATTCCAGTTCATACTGGACCTAAACGGTACAGCGATAAAGAAATTGTTGAGAGACAAGTGTCATTGCTGAGACAAAATACCTGATACCCAGAATTAAGGAAGGAAAGGTTTATTTAGCTCACACTCTGTGGAGGTTTCAGTCTATACTCAGCTGGCTCTGAGGCAGAGTGGCACATGGCAAAGGGCAAATATTCATGGTGGTGGAAGATAGCAAAGCAACAAAAACAAAATGGAGGAGCCACAGGCAAGCCTCTTTCTCTCCCTTGCATATGGAAAACTACCTGCCCCAGGGCTAGTGTAGCACTCACACCTACAATCCCAGCATTGGATCATGGATCAATCAAACTCTAAAAGACCACCCCATGACTGCATGAGGCTTTGAGGGGACACCCAGACACAAACCATAACGTGTGGCTTACTGACTCCTTAGGAGAGTGGAACCCCTAGGACCTCTCTTAGAAACTCCTAAGAGATCAGGGTGGACCCCTCCCTCAGGGTCTCCTTTGGCCACCTGAGAAACAATATCCTTACAGTTATTCATATAATACTTCGGTATTTTATTTAATGCAGAAGAAGTAGAAACCTTTCTTTTCTTTTTTTTTTTTTAAGCATTTAAGAGAACAGAAAAAAAAAATGAAAAATTTCTAAGGGTCAAGCATGCTCACAGCAGGTTGAGTTCATCCTTACTGGCTGTCCCTTTGTTTTTCTCAGGAGCTCAGGCATGTGCTTTGAAATGACCTGAATTTCTGAAAGCAGGAGGGGTCCCGGAAAGCAGAGGCGTTAGCTCTTACCTATAAGTGTGAGAAAGCTGAGAGGCCACAGGATTTACTCAGTAGCTTTTGTGTTCCCCAATTGCAATTGATGTCTCTTCATAAGACTACAAAACTTACCATTAGAATTGTCTGTGCTCATAGAATACCAACTTAAAAAAACTTATATGTGCTCATTAACATCAGTCTGCAATGAGTTACATCTAATGGGAGGCACTTCAAAGGCTTAGAAAAATGTTTAGAGTTTAAATGGATTTTCAAAAACTAAATCTTAAAAAAATAACCCAACTAATTCTTTAAAACCCCACCTCATGCCTTCAAATTGCAAGAAATTAACAAGTACAGGACCAAAAGAATCTGCAGCACCTTTTCAAAATACTGTTAACATCTTTGGGTTTCCTGAGGCTTGTTAGTGGTCAAATCCTCCCAAAAGAAGATCCAGTTAGGTAGCTAGGACTAAATATTTTTGTGGTAATAGTCCAGTTTTACACATAAATTTGCTATATTCCTGAAGCTACAGGTAACAAAAAATAAAGCAAATGTAAAATGGATAGTCCGACATTTAAAAACTTATACCGGGCTGGGGATATAGCTCAGTGGCATAAGCACCTGCCTGGCAAGTTGCAAGGTCCTGTGTTTGATTCCCGGTACCAAAAACAAACACAAAAAACAAAAAACAAAAAAACAAAAAACAAAAAACAAACTTACACCAAGTGAAGGTTAAAGTTTACATATTTGAAAATCACATATACTCTTAATTACCACTATTTGAATCATCCAAAGACAAATTGCACCATGATGGCTACAAAAGGTATGAGATTCAGTTTGATTCTTAAGGGGAGAAGAGGGGAGAGCAGAGCAGAGGGGACAACAGATAAATTAACAAAGTAAGACCCACTGGGTAGGGTCCACCTGAGACATGCTGACACAAATGGCATAGGTGTCACCTTTGAACAATAGGAGGAAAGCGATCATCTTGTATTTTTGCAGAAAAGTTTAAATACTTCCAAGAACATCAAGAGTTTCATAACGTAATATGTTGCCACTGCTATTCACAGAGAGCTGCAGGTATGGAAGGCTCTCTGGAACCCTCCAACCTGCAGGACGATGGAGGATACCACCGCGAGTGCAGCTCCCCCCAGGCTGAGGACACCAGTGTCGTGCCAACCGCGAAGGCCAGCAGAGTACCCATGGCGGTGCCGTGTGCGCTGCCCCCTCCTCCCAGGCTGCCGGTACAAATAGCGGGTCAAGAGGTGGCGGGAACTGGCGGTGGGTAGAATGTCCCCGGGAGCACACAGGTGCATGAGCTGTGCCTCCCCCAATCCAGTGACTCCCAGGGGCCCCGTGCCTGGGAATTCTTGCCTCTTGGGGAGTGGCTGCTGCTCAGGCGGCTGCACTGGCATGTGCTGCAGATCACATTCACCAGGTGACCTGGCCCTGGCCTTGCTCCAGCTCTGGTGCGCTGGAGTGCAGACTGCAGGGGCAGTGGCAGTGGAAAGCGAGAAGCAGGCAGGGGAGCCATCCGTTCCCCTGACCTTCTCCCTCATTGATGTGGCCACCAGAGGTCTACAGTGAGTAGGCACCTCCTTCCCTTGGCTCGAGGACCTCTTCCCCCTTTGGCAAGCTTGCTCAGGTGGCGGCGAAGGGAATCAAGAGGCAGGCAGGAGAGACCTCCACTCCCAAGGGAAGCAGGAGAGCTGCTGGGTGGGAAGTGATTGTGGCTCCCACCTGCCTGACCTACCCTAACAGCCCTGTCCAATCCCCAAGGGAAGCAGGAGAGCTGCTGGGTGGGAAGTGATTGTGGCTCCCACCTGCCTGACCTACCCTAACAGCCCTGTCCAATCCCCAAGGGAAGCAGCAGCACTGTTAGGCAGGAAGCCACTGTGGCCCCCATCCAGCTGGCCGGCACTAAGGGTCTGGCCATTCTATAAGGGCGAAAACCGGAAGGAAGCCTGGGCTGCCCGCATTAATGGCCCCACCTACTTGCCATTGCTTTGGCCTCCAGGAGAAGGGCCCAGCTGCACAGTGCTGGCTGTATAGGTTTCCATGTAGGGTGATCACCCTCTGCCTTCTTTGGCACAGTCTGTGGGCATCCCCCAATGCTGGCTGGCATGCAGAGCATGTGGGGCTTGGGATTCTGGTGCTGCACCCGGCTTGGTTCCATCACCCTCATCCCACTGCCCTCATCCCAGCCTCTTATTGTCCTATTCAAAGAACTGGACAAGATAAATGAAGAATGCAGAGGTTTTGTATTTGTTAAAGGTATTGAAGGTAGGATCAAAGGTGAAGGCAGCCAAAGAGTATACTTTTCAGAGTGAGTGTGGGCCAGTTAAAGTAGAAGTATGCTGTGCAGAGTGCAGAGTAACTTGGTGCAGAGGGTCACAGCGGCCATGAGCTTAACAGCTGAGGTCTTTTTACCCCGTTATGATGTCAGATCTGAGCCATCCTATGCAGGACTCAGAAGCTGTTAGGCACATGTGTTCTGAATGTGATTGACAGGTCATGCCCAATTGCCCAGCCATTTTGCCATGCCCTAATCTCCTGTCCCAGGCCCAAGAGGCCTGACATCATGGCTGAAGTTTATCTGCCCCTCAGTGGCATACTTTAAGCTTTGAGGGTTTCCTGGGATGGGTACTATTTTCATTTTAATATAATATAGTAATTGTACTGTGCTCATTTCCCTCCCTCTCTAGGAATCTTTGATAAATGAACTACTGCTTAGGAGGTCATCTTTGAAAGAAGTCAAGAAGACTCAAACTCAGCCTGGGTTCCCTGCTAAGAGCTTTATTATTTAATCTCTTTTAGGTCTTTGATTCAATTTTGAATTAATTTTTTTCTGTACTGAGGATCAAACTCAGGGGTGCTTTGTTACAGACTGGTGACTTATTTCACCAGCCTTTTCAATTTATTTTGAAACAGGCTGACTTCCACCTTGTAATCTTCCTGCCTCAGCCCGATGAGTAACTGGGATTTCAGGTTTTCAAGGCCACTAAGTTAATTTTTGTAGATGGTGTTTGATAAGGGTCTATCTTCCTTATTTTACAAGAAGATATCTTGTTTCTCCAGCACGATTGGTTGAAGAATCCCCTTCCCCATTGAATGATCTTAGTACTCTAGTTGAAGGTCATTTGACTACATTGTGAGCGCTTATTTCTGAGCTCGCCATTCTATGACAGGTAAATCTGTCTTTACGCATGTACCACTACAGTACCTTAGGTTAGTTATGAACAGTCAGAGCAGCCTTTCAGTAGGGTCAGATGAAAGAAAATACCCAAGCTTATAGATATAAAATAAAACACAAGAACAAAAGACGAAAGTTTCAGATGACAATGGAGAAGTAAGGATCATTTCTCCCAGGAAGGAGACTCTTATCCCTCTAGACCAGACATAATTAACAGCTCCTTCTTATCTCCAGACTAGAAACTTAGACATGCAGAATAACCGGTTTCCTGTAAACCAGCTAAACAACTAATTTCCTTTAAACATTAAACCCGCACACCTGCCTGTTTAAAATAAGTCCCACTCAACAGCCTGTTGCTAGTCTCTCGGTCCTTCTTTTCAATCCTGGCCTTCCCTCCAGCCATCATACCTCAGTGAAAGGAGTCACTGGTGAGGAGGTAATATGCTATTTTTGATAACCCTTAGGCTGTAACTACTTATTAGATCCTTCTTGCATATCTCTGTCTTCCTGAGAAACCACCTTGAAGATACCACCACGTATTACAGCAGCCATTGATATTTTCCTACTAATCTATCCATAACTGTGTTAAGTTTGTAATGTTCCTATCCTATTTCATAATGTATGTTTATTATTATGTGTTTCCTACAACAACCATTGAGAATAGTTAATGATTTTTCAATACGTCACTCATGTATAGCTCTATTTATTTTCTTTAGAAGCCACTTTGAAGATACCAAAGTATAGCACAACAACTCTTGATAATCTCCTACCTCTTTTGTCTGTAACTCACTATTATTTGTCTATTTGTTTTCCTGAGAAACTATTTTGTAGATAATAATATGTAAAACGATAACCATTGATAATTTCCTACCATTTTGTCTGTAATTTGCTAAGTCCCCCCTATTATTATGTTATCCTTCTTTTATTCTTTAAAATAAAAAAATAAAAAATAAAATAAAATAAAATAAAATAAAATAAAAAAGTCCCACTCTTCCTCTCTCTATGAGGCAAAGACAAATAAACAATGTTAGACTTCTGTCTCCTCTTCATGGGCATCCACCAGTGCTTTTTTCTTCTTACTGTTTCTAATGAACACTCTCCTAAACTCTTCCTGTTGTCCATGATTTCATTGTTCAATTTAGTGAGACAGAGGGCCAGGCTTTATACAAAGTGAATTGTTTCACTGTGGTGTTTTACTATATCTTTATAGTAAAAATTGAAATCAGAAAGTGAGTTTTTCAATTTTTTTCTCTTATTTGAAGATTGTTTTAGCTATTCTGGGTCCCTTGAATATAAATTATAAGAGAATTTTATATTTTTGCCAAAAAAATCATTGGGTTTTTTGTGGTTACTGCCGTTGCTGTTTGTTTTAGTGGTACTGGGGAATGAACCCAGGGCCTTGTACATGCCAGGCAAGCACTTCATCAGTAAGGTACAGTTCCAGACATTTTTATTTTTAAAATTGAGACAGGTAGGATTGCACTAAGTTGCCCAGGCTGGTCCTCAGATTTATGATCCTTCTCTTTCTCAGTGTTTGGGATTATAGGCATGCCCCATGATGCCCAGCCTCATGGGGATTTAGATGACGTTGACTCTAAAGATCTCTTGGGTAGTATATTAGACAGCTTTACAGTCTCTGAAACACCATACCTGATATGCTCAATTTAAAAGAAAAGGTTTTGTTTTGTTTTAGTTTTGTTTTTTGAGACAGGCTCTCACTACGTAGTTCTGGCTGGTCCTGAACTCACTGTGTACCCCAGTCTAGCCTCAAACTCATGGCAATCCTCCTGCCTCAGCCTCCTGAGTGCTGGGATTCAGACATACCCTATCACACTTGGCTCCAAGGAAAAGAGATTTCATTTGCCTCCCAAATTCCAGGGATCTACTACAGGGTCAGCTGAGTCCAAGGAAGAAACATCCTGGTGAAAGGGCACGAGAAAGCGAAGATGCTTAGTTTCTGGTGGCTAGAAAACAGAGCAGGGGAACTGCGGCAGAGAGGAAGGGGTTGAGAGCCAGAAATAGACTCCCAGGCTGTGCTTCCATGACCTACCCAGACACACCCAGAAAGGTACTCCATTTACCCATTGGGAGGACACTGGTGTCAATCAAGTTGTGGCCAATCATGCTAACCACAGCATCCTTGCTCTTTTCAACAGACACATCTTCAAGGCTGGGCGTGGTGGCACATGCCTGTAATCGCAGCACTGGGGAGGCTGAGGCAGGAGGATCCTTGCGAGTTCGAGACCAGCCTGGGCTACAAAGTAAGCTCAAGGCCATCCTGAACTGCATGGCAAGACCCTGTCTCAAAAAGACAAAAACAAAACAAAACAAAACAAAACCCAGACGCATCTTCTTAAACCATACTTATATCTCTAAATGAAGACAATAGCAAGCTCACAATTCTGCCTAGCATAATACACCTATCCTGTGTATAATCAGAAGCACAATAATTCCTTCCCCCAAAGTGCCAGCATTTTTAAAAAGTCAAGCCCAAGAATTTTGAGACTGAAGGGAAACACTTGGCTGAGTAGAGAATCACTATTCCCATTCAAAAGGGTAGAAATAGGGGGTTAGAAAAGAATCTGACCAAAGCAAGATTGAAACCCAGCAGGGCAAACCTTAAGTCCTATAGCTCCACATCCAGCATCCAGGGCACGCGGCTGTGAGGTGTGAGTTCTGGAGGGCTTGGGTGGCCCAACCCCTAGGTCCTTGCTAGTTGCAGCCCACAGAACCTCTCTTGGGGTGGCTGCACTATTGGGATGCACCATTCCTCAGCAAACATTCTGTTTCTGGCATCTCCTCCATCAGAGGAGCCACTGCACATTTGCACTCATTCCCATAGCTCCACCCACAGCTCTCTCAGAGACTCCTTGCCTGGCCTTCCTCTGCAATCTGGGTAGTAATCTCCCTGGCCCTACAACTCTTGCATTGTGCATGGTGGTAAAATAAGCATTATGTACATAATGCCAAGGTCTGCTCTCAGTAAAGGCAGTAGCCAGAACCCCTGGAACATGGCTGCTGTGGCCCCTGAGCACATAGATGGCTGTGCATGATGAAATGAACCCCGGAATAACTTTTTTAGCAAGCACTTCTTGAGCAGAGTTCAAGGGACTGTCTTTTCAAATAAAAGGCTGACATTTTTTCATCCTTAAGCCCTGCATTGTGTGGGTTCTTGCTGATTCTTGAGATGTCCCTGAGGTATCATTGTCCTTGTTCCTATTAAAAAAATACTTGGTTTATCTTTAATGGAACTTAATCCACCAGCAATCAGACCTCTTTTAGTCCTGAATTAACACATGGTTCTCTCTGTGCTAAAATTTACTTTTTCTAAACTTTCTACTGTGCTTTTTGCCCCTATTTTTTCAAAATAAACCTGGCTTTAATCACCCGGTGGTATTAATGGTACAGTTGAATGTTGACCTGTCTTGTAATTTCTTCTTCCAGATTAATTAGTCTACCACCCTTAATCTCAGTCTCCTGCAAAACCTCAGGGCTTGAGCATGATATAGGCAGATTTTCTTTCAAAGTGTAACATACATGGCTTCTAAGCTAACTACCAGCGGAATCCTTGCTCCTAACCTAAAACTTCTGACGCCTTTACTGTCTGTATTCCTGTCAGCATTCTGTTTTGGGCTCTGACCAGAATCACCTATCAGGTTCCAATTAAATGATTCTAGTGTTTTTTTTAGCCAACAACTACAAACATTTCCAAACCCCACTCACAAACTGAATGCAAAAGCTCCTGAACCACATAATCAGGTTCAGTCACATCAATGGCCCATTGTTGGTACCGGTTTTTTGTATTAGTTAGCTTTCCCAAGGTTGGCATACAATACTTGACAACCGCAAGTTAAAGGAGGAGTGGTTTAATTTGGCTTAGTTTCCAGGAATTCAGTACATGGTCAGCAGATCCAAGGCAGAAATGTGATGGAAGGGCACGATGGAGCAAAGCTCCTTAATTTTTTTGGTGGTCAGGAAGCAGAGCAGAGAAAGAGTGTCAGAGAGGAAGGGGTGAAGGACCTCATAGAGACCCCAAGGCTACCACCTATGACTCATCCAGACACATAGAAATGTGCTGGACAATACGTGACTTCAATCTATACTACAAAACAGCAGTGTTAAAAACGGCATGGTACTGAAACAAAGTCTACATGTGGATCACTGGAGCAGAATAGAGAAACACTCCAGGAACATTCAGCTGTTTGATCGTTGACAAAAGGGCCAAAAGCATATGTTGAAGGAAAAGTAGCCTATTCAACAAATGGTGTTGGGGGGGCTGGGGATTTAGCTCAGCGGCAAAAGCGCCTGCCTGGCAAGCGCAAGGTCGCGAGTTTGGTTCCCGGTACCGGAGAAAAACAAAAACAAAAACAAAACAAAACAAATGGTGTTGGGAAAACTGGGATCTGTTGGCAGAAGATTGAAACTGGACCCGAATCTCCCACCATGTACTAAGCTAAAATCAAGTATCTAAACACTAAAATAAAAACATTGAGCCTACTGGAAGATAAAATAGGCAAACCTCTTGAAGTCATAGGTGTAGGAAAGGATTTCTTAAACAGAACTGCAATAGCACAAGAAATAACAGCAAAATCAGGAGATGAGATTACAGGCTGGGTATGGTGGCATATGTCCATAATCTCAGCACTCAGGAGGCAGAGGCAAGAAGATTGCCCTGAGTTCAAGGCCAGCCTGGACTACATAGTAAGTTCAAGGCCAGGCAGAACTACAGAGCAAGAACCTGTCTCATAAAACAACAGCAAAAACGAATATGATTACATCAAGTTAAAAGGCTTCTGCACAGTGAGGAATCAATTAGTAGAGTGAAGAAATAACTTACAAAATGGGAAAAAATTTTGCCAGCTATTCCTCAGACAAAGGACTAGTATCTAGAATATATAAGGAACTAAAAATATTAGACCACCTAAAATAAAAGACCTAATCAAGAAGTGGGCAAGTGAAATTAACAAGGAATTCTCAGAGGGAGAGATACAAATGATCAAATCAGTATATGAGAAAACGTTCACCATCTCTGGACATTAGGAAATGCATATTCTTTTTTTTTTTTTTTTGGTATTTTTGAGACAAGGTCTCAATGTGCAGTTCAGGCTGGCCTTGAGCTCACTTTGTAGCCCAGGCTGGTCTCAAACTCACAATGATCCTCCTGCTTCAGCCTCCCGAGTGCTGGGATTACAGGTGTGTGTCACCACACCCAGCCTAGGAAGTGCGTATTAAAATAATGCTATGATTCCATCTTACACCAGAAAGAATACAGAATAGCAATCATCAAGAAGTCAAAAAACAATGAAAACTGTCATGGCTGCAGTGAGAAAGGAATCCTCCTACTTTTTGTTGGGAATACCAACATCCATTATGGAAATCAGTGTGGAGATTCCTCAAAGAGTTAAAATTAGAAAA